TACTACTACTTACTACTACTAATTACTGCTGCTGCTGCTGCTGCTGTTACTACTACTACTACTACTACTACTACTACGGCTACTACGACGACTACTACGACAAACTACAACCACAACTACAACAGCTGCTACTCCGCCGCCCGCTGCTGCTGCTGCTGCTGCTACTGCTACTCCTACTGCTACCGCTACATACTACTGCGTACTACTACCTACTACTACATACTTCTACAGGCTGCTACATATTGCTACGAACTACTGCATGCGATTATAAGCTACTACTAAGCACGTCTTCATACTACTACATGCTGCTACATACTGCTACATATTACTACACATACTACTACGAATACTGCAGCTGTGATTGAGATTATATAATTAAGCCGAGCGTGCCACATCTCACTTGGGGCTGAATATCAGATGCAAGCCTCGTGCTGCACCGCACCTCACAGCAACACCTTTTTGTCTTATGCGGCTTTCCTCTGTGAAGCATGCCGCCAGGCACTGTTGACTGCCTGCAGGATGGCTGAAGGGTAAGCCTGTTTCAAGCAAGGCTTTCTGGCGGCCGTTCAGGTGCGGTGGTTTTGTAATGAGCACCTCGCCCGGGGTAGATTCGTCAAGTCACACCTGCCAGTCTGCTGTGAAGCCTTATTTGGACTTTCGGCGTGTGGCAGAGACTACAATGCCTACAGGCTTTTCTCCCATCCAGACCTCCATGCAGCTTAGTGCTAGTCCGAGTCCTGGTTTCTGAACACAATCGAACCTTTACATCGCAAGACCAAAAACCCTGCGGCAAAGTCCCGGAATCGTGCTGGTAACCTCTCTGCCTGCTGAAATCACAAGGCAGGCGCCGAACTCACTATAACAATCTTTCAATCTAAGAGAAGCACTATTTCGCAGGTTTAGTAATGCACTAACCGAAGCTCAAAACAGACTCATAATAAAACTACAAAGGTTGTCTCTTCGGACCCTCTGAAAACATCGTAGGTCCGTTTCAACCCTGTCATACGCAGATGAACAAATGAGCATATTCGTCTTTGCTATATTTGTATCACACACACACATATATATATATGAGAGAGGCTCCTCTAGGGTCTTTTTCACGCCCTATTTGTTGCCTATTAGTTTAATGAGAATACAAATAATTGAAATAATTGAAATAATTCAAATCCGTGGGTTTTTTTTTCAAGCCACCAATCCCACCGATTTAAATAATCAAAATAATTGAAATAATTGAAATAATTTAAATCGGCCGATTTCTATTATTTCAATTATTTCCATTCACAAGGCCACCGAAATAATTGAAATAATTGAAATAATAGAAATCGGCCGATTTA